GTCAGAGGTCGCATATTCCAGCCCACCTCGGTCTTGCCCCAAGTCGGCCAAGGAGACTTGTTGAACTGATGCTGAAGTGGGATTTCTAGTGTATTGACTCAAATGTTGGATTGGAGGGGTGCCCGATGTGACAATCGGACTCGGCGGTCCAATTCCAATACGACTCAAGGCACTCACCTGCGTAAGAGGCAAAGATCAATTTCAGCAAATTTAACATATCTTTGACGTATATGCCTTCATTTGTACAGAAAAAAACTGACCATGAAACGGTATATATGTCCCGGGACAAGACCGAGAATCCTGGCCGGTGAGGAATCCACCTGAATAGATTTCCAGTCGTCGCTGTCAGCTGCAAGCGAGACGATAAACCCGTTGACATAGTTTCCTCCAACAACAGGCCAATTCCAATGCACTTCGCAATCCCCTCCATTTGTCAGAGGTCGCATATTCCAGCCCACCTCGGTCTTGCCCCAAGTCGGCCAAGGAGACTTGTTGAACTGATGCTGAAGTGGGATTTCTAGTGTATTGACTCAAATGTTGGATTGGAGGGGTGCCCGATGTGACAATCGGACTCGGCGGTCCAATTCCAATACGACTCAGGGCACTCACCTGCGTAAGTGGCAAAGATCAATTTCAGCAAATTAAAAATATTTTTGACGCATATGCGTTCATTTGTACCGAAAAAAAACTGACCATGAAACGGTATATCTGTCCCGGGACAAGGCCGAGAATCCTGGCCGGTGAGGAATCCACCTGAATAGATTTCCAGTCGTCGCTGTCAGCTGCAAGCGAGACGATAAACCCGTTGACATAGTTTCCTCCAACAACAGGCCAGTTCCAATGCACTTCGCAATCCCCTCCATTCGGCGAAACCTGAACTCGAACGTTGAAAGGCTCTCCTGGAGGGACAAACAGTCCACGTGAAGCCCCTCCAGCCTCACTCAATACGATCTCGCACAGTCCTTCCATTCCCATCGCTTCTGCTGCCACAAATTTTAATTTTGGGATCCCCTGAGTCCTTCCGTAATGAAGGAAGATACGCTGGCATTCGAAAAGCATCTGCACTTGCTCTGGGGACACATAAGGGGAAGGCGCTCCCACGTTTGCTTGCCGGTTCAGTGGCAGGGGGCTTCTCGGACCATCCATAAGGGATTGCGTCCCATCGGTGCCTCTGTAGAAGAAGCAAATCACCGCTATGATCCCGCTGTCTTGGAATGCATTCGATGCATTGCGAATTTCTACTCCTGAATCGTAGAAATTTCTCACGAGAACTTCAATATGATAGGCTTCCAGTTCCTTTTTGCGAAAATCCATCGGCAATGTTTGATGTTGTAGGGTATTTTTCGTTCCCAGTGTTTGTGGACTGATATCGACTTCATTCTTCTGCCTTAGGATTTCTT